TCACTAGAAAGTCTGAATGACAGCTATTAAACATACCAATTCAATAGTGAAACATAATTGAGCAGAAGCTCACCAAGGGAAGTGAAGCAAACATTTTTGTTTCCGTGAAATGAACCAAGAAATCTCATTTTAAAAGATGAAAAGTTTAATAATAGGTGGGTTTTCCCTCCCAAGTCTTTTTGTACAATGCTTTATTTTAAGAGAAAACAGTGTAACATATCTTGTTCCACAGGACTGGAAAGGAGGAAATTCTATATACACATGTTCATACAATACTGCCTTTAACTGCAAAAACTAGGCACTTACGTGGAGGAATATGAGAGAATGAGAGAGAGAGAGAATCTTCTGACAACACAGACAAGACAATATGCTAAGGCACCAATACAGTAATTAAACAGAATGGAAGTGCCATGGCAGTGCACCATTTGCACAGCATAGCATAACTGGATGTTTCTTGATGAAGTAGGAGAAAGAGTTAGGTTAGCCAGATATCCACACCCTGTCTGGCGTAGGGTAAATATTTTCCAGTCAAGTTGTTAATTGCTGCTTTCAAATTTCACCTATTTAAGGAAAAACTATTTCAAGCTCGTATAATCAAAGGTCATGTTTGTTCAAAAGATGAAGTTTAAAATTAACATGAAAGATCACTGAAAAAACAAACACAGTCCTCAAATGAGAGGACTGCAATGGCAATTACATCTCAAGACTGACAGTAATTCCAAAGGCCAAATTCTTGCATAGCTCTTGTGATATTTCCATAATGAATTATTACTAAACTTTACAGTGAGAGCTACTCCATTAGAAGTAGAAGAGATAAAATTAAAGATACAAAACCCTCCAGACTACACACAGACAAAGGGAGCTTATATACTGGTCACTGAAGTCTGAAACTACACTGTATCATTCTATGACAGGAATTACACTAAAAGAAAAAAAAAAAGCTTAACATGCAGCAGTATATTTTGCTTTTGCTTTCCCCCTTTCATGTTGAGAAGTTCTACTCAAGTCAAATTGTGATTGTACAGCCCAGTTTTGAACATGTCTAGTCAATGAGTTTAATGGAACTGAAATACAGGTAACTATGAATAGGATTGCAGTCTCAGACAGTTAAAAGACAGCAACATTAACCACTTTTAGAAAACAGAACCCTATAGAAATAATAGCTGAAGGTGCCATGTTAAAAGCTAAGGGGCACAATCAGGTGCAACCATTTCTCAAACTTGAGTTTAATGCTAAAAAAAAGAAAGTAGTGGGGTGCATGGATATCATCTTTTGATATTTTTAACAGCAAAACCAACCACCACCAGTTCCCAAAGAAGTGGATCGATTAAGAAATTGCCTTCTCTGGCTGCCCCACCATCAAGAGTTTAAACAAGGGGTAGAAAGGAAGGGAGACCTCTTTTTTTCCCCCCAATGGCGGTCATATTGCAGGAATTTCTTACTCAGCATGTCTTCCTGGTACTATGTCACTTATTTTTTAGGTACCAGACAAAGGCTGTGTTCGACTGCAGAAATGGAATTGCAGAAAATTACTAAGCCAGATCTCTCCATCCATGCTTCTCCTGCCACCTACCATTAATCAGGAATTCACCATGATGAAAAAAGTTAGTGATATTGTTACAGCAGGACTGCTATCCCTCCCTATCAAGTGAGGACTGGACTTTGAACTCCAGCTTTGGACTCCAGCTTCTTAATGGAGTGACAAAGCAGGAGCCCTACTTTGGCCTCAATATTAAGCTTTTTATTTCTAATGATCTTCTGATTACTGCAGCCGTTCCTGAACCCAAGCCAAGAAGCAGCAATCAGGCAGCATATACCAGCATGCTGCTTACCATTGACTGCTTTATGTGAAAATGAAGTCTGTGCTGTTTCCTCATGTTTTACTTTGAAATCCTTTGCTTTTACTCGGTTGGGTTTGCTGTTTTTGCTTGATGATTAATCATTTGGTATTTTATTATTTTTATCATGATTTTACCTTGATCTGATCCTATCAACAAATATGAATATGATCAGGGTTTCTGGTTCTAGCAGCAGTTGCAAAACACTGAACTAATTGCCAGAGCCAGTACCTTAGTTGGGAGAGGAAGTTTTCAAAAGTATGTCTACAAGAGGATGCCAACAAGGTCTGAGAAAATAATGCTGACAACTGCATGAGAACTAAAACAACTTTCAGAAAACATTTATGCTTGCTCTGAACAAGAACAGGTAAAAGTGCAAGGTGAAATCTATGCATGTTTAAATAGAAAAAGTCCTTCAATTCCCAGGATGCCTCAAGATTGCATCTTTAACTTGTATAACTATCTCAGACTAGGTTGTAAAGTTTTTCATATCCAAAAGAAATGAACAGTAGGCTAGTTTTCCACAATTTATCAAATGTTTTGACCAAACGCGTTACTTAAACCAGGTAAGTCTGCTATCTTAACTCTGCAAAGAATATAAAACTTACATAAACCTAAAAATGCTCAGTATGCCTATGAACACACTACACATTTCTCAATAAATACATCGCCAACCTCATGGTTTCCAGAAACTTATGTATCAATCTAGTGATGTATGACACCAAGTAGAATGTCAAATTCTGTATGTGGTTTCAAGGTCGGTGTGGCTCTAAAAATAAGCAAGCTTTTCAAAGCCAAGATTGATATACACGAGCATAATGTTGCTTTAACAAGCTAAAAGCTGAACTTGTTCTTTGAATAAATGTTTTGTAAATCTGAGATCTTATTAATATAAGCTTATTTTTGTTCTTTAGAAGGGAGCCATTCTAGCCATCCCAAACTATGAAGCGTCTGCTTTCTGACAAGTGACCACAATCCCAGTCATATATATACCCTCAGTAAATTTTGTGAGGCTTTCAGTACATTCCATTTTATTGTCCTTAGGCACAGTCCTACATATGTTTAAACAGAAAAAAAGTCCTACAATTCCTAGCCTATCCCAGCCAGCCCAGTATTCCTATACACATCTTCTTTTACAAAGCATCTTTCAAACCTGTGAATAAAATCTTTACAGAAACATAATATCACTTACATTAAATCAATGCTTAACCTCTGCCTGCAATATAGCTTTCCAATATTACCTAGCCAGAAGACAAAGCAATATATCCAAAGTTGTTTGCCTGCCAGTGGAACACACACTGTGGGCAGAACAGATTCCTCTTCCCTACACACTCCCCAAATCTGCTCTGGAGGGTGAGGAGACCCTTTGGAGCAAATCAGAGGTTACAGGGGAGGCTTCAGACTGAGAAAAGTAAAGAGCGGTCCCGTTGAGCAGGTGGAAAGTCCAACTACATGATTTAGAAGAAGCATGAACATATGGGAAATGGAAGATACTAATTCTTAAAACACTGACATTATGCCACTATGCATGGCTTCCCACATTCCACTGCTCAAGATCTATGAAACTAAGGTGTTTTGCTCCTATATTTCAGGCTGGTTGGGGAATACTGGGACTTGTAGGAATGCTAAGATTGTACCCTAAGTCACTGTCATTTCAATGGGTTAAAGCCCCATATACCCCCTTAAAATATTAACATTCACAACTTTGACTCTAGTCACCAAAGGCTCACCATGTGTCATTATAGTCTCAGATTTTACTTAGTAAGTGGTGTTTTTCTTTATCAAATGCAAGTCCTCAGAATCAAAAAGTAAACTGGTTTGCTCAGAAAAAACACCCTTATTCACAGAGGGTCATAAAGTCAGCTTTGCTTCTTATTCTACATACATTTCATATAGGTACAGCACCAGGTAAAGCACTGACGGTAGGAAGATTCAGTATGTTCTTTAACTGTTTCTTAAACTGAGGAGAAAATACAGATTCCTGAAAGTTATCTTTTGAACTGCATCAACATCATTATGTTCTGTGAAGTCAGTCTGGTATTGCACAAGCTCTCTCAGTTAAGGTGAGTGGAGTATGTGTCAAGACATTTGTTCCCTGCCCAAAAGCAAGGGAGGTACAAAATAATGTGCATGCCCAGCCCACATTTTCTACTGGCAGATGTTAAGTGTTACTATAGCAGCTCTGCTAGGAACAGAAAAGTTAATCTACAAGAATGTAATGCATTCAGAACTGTATCTGTTACACATAGTCCCCCCCCCCAAAGTTATCAAGTGAGGCATTGCACTTCTTTTTTTCTCCTCCACTCCACCAAGGCTTAACTTAACAGTGCATTAATGGTAAGACAGTATTGGATACAGATGTATTAGACAAGAGCTAATTTTCTCATTATCTGGGATATTTCCAAGAGAACCATTCAAGAAAAGCTTGCAGGTTGTCCCAAGTCAGCAAAGACAGGCTAAGGAAATCACGCACAAAGGGTTATGAACAAGTATACTGGGTAGGGAAAGAGAGTGCTAAGTTCTACAATAATTATGCAAAAGGGGAAGTGCTGGGACAGAATTACACAGATAACAGGAGGCAGCTCCAAGTAAAATAGCCATTCTATTCAGTAGTGTGTAGAATAGACACTCTAACGACATGAGAGTCAAAGGGCCAGGATCCCTAAGCAAACAACAGTAATGTTATTGAAGTTAGCTCTCCTTGTGGGAAGTGGGGTTCTGGAGGAGAATCAACTACAAAGAGGCTAAAATTCCACAGGACAAGAAAGATCGGGCATGAATATCAGCAGGTAAGTATCGGTTACAGCGGGTGAAACCTAAGAAGTTTCAGCTAGGACAACCAACTGGAAAGGGAAGGGAGGAGGAAATATAAACATACGAGCCTACAGGGAAGGAATCTTCAATAGGACCGAGGACGGGGAGAGGAAAGAGAGATAGAGGGGAGAACGGTTACGGGGAAATCTTACTACGGGAGCGTAAAGGTGGAGATTACAAGGAAGCTGGACTGGGGGTAAAGGCAAATAATGAGAGGAAAATAAATGGATAGCGATCAGGATCGGGGCCGGGGATGGGAGGGAGGAAGCTTGTGGCAAGAGTTCAGTACGAGGCACGGGGGAGCCAGCCCGGTACCCAGATCTTTTCCCGACACCCCATAATACTCACGCCTTGTCCACCAGCTCCCGGACTTTCCACATATTGAGCATTTTTGCGGCGGCAGCGCCGAGAGATCGGCTCCCGGTCTAGGCCCTTATCAGTTCCCAGTCTTCTCCTGCTCCTTCCTCTACTCCGCCAGGAGCCCAGCCACGGCACCGCCAGTCCAGGCCCGTCTAGCCTCGCCGCCTCCTCAGCTTCGCCAACGGCACAGAGAGCGAGAGAGAAAGAGAGACTCAGTTCCGCCTCCGGAAACCGGCGGCATGAGGCCGCAAGGCCTGCTGGGAAATGAGGTCCGAGGTAGAAACAGCGTTCCTTGCTGGAGAACGGCAAAAAGCATTCCATCGCATGGAACTTTGGGAGATGTAGTCCTAGAAGCTGTGACACCGTGACAAAGACTTAGAGAGGATCTTTCCCCGCCCATCTCCCGCGGGGTTCGCTGGGAGTTGAAGGTTCTTTGGAACCTGTGCTTAACGAAAGTAATGCATAGTTGGGCAAGGTGGAGTAACGGTGTCCCAACTACAGCGAAATTATATTTCAGATTTCTTGGGAAGTTGCTGCGGTTCAATCATTGATATGAAGCTCTGGCAACAGTGAAAAATCTCAATTTCCCTCCCTGCTCTTAAGTTAGCACTATTGATGCATAAAGCTGCAGCAAGACTAAGAACTGTTATTAACCTGGGAAAGACAGGTTAAACCAAGAAAGGCAGCTAAACATTTCGACATTAATACGTGCCATATAAATATATAAGAAGGTCCATGTTAGATATAATGCACCTTTTCACACAGTGATCAACCTGTTGGGAACCCACACGTGAGAAATGAGTGCAACAAGCACATTTCCATTAATGATCCCCAGCAACCGATATTTAAAAACGACTGTCTCTAATAACAATAGTCAAGTATGGTCACACTACAAATTTTATAGGGGCAGTGTGATATTGGCAGTTTCACATTTTATATATTTTCTAATTCTGCTTGATACGGAATTCACCTTTTACATGGCAGATTTGAGTTGTCCAGCACAACCCCAAGACTTTCTTTGTGTTCAGACAAAACTAGCTTAGAACTCATCAGATTATACATAAAACTGGGATTTCTAGCCCCCAGATGCATCACTTTACACAGGCACAATGAACTGTATTTGCCTTGTTAATGCCTTTTCTCCCAGTTTCAAGATATTCATTTGGAGCCCTTTTGTTCTAACCATCCTCAATAATACGGTGTCATCCAAAACTTGGCCATCACACTACTTATGCCTAATTTGGCAATACTTAATTTTTAGACTATAATTAACACTTTTTGATGTACCATCAGAGGGGAGGTCTATGACTTATGTCTAGGAGAAATAGTGGAGAAATATTTCAAGGGAAGTGGTTAAGGCCCCATCAGTAAGGGTTCAAGGAAAGGTTGGACAACCACCTGTTGGGGATTACATGAGTGGAGCCAGCTGATGTCGGGGGACAGACTAGATGGCCCGGGGACCCCTTCTGACTCGCTTTGTTTCTATGTTTCATCCAAGATGAAAAAAGTTTCGGCTACCTTCAATCCTTGACTCTGCATGCACCCAGAAATGGTAGTTGAAAGTATGTGCATTCACATTCCTATTATATCCTAGATGTAAATGATCATCTTATCCATAAGGGGGCAGGGCTTAGACCTGATTGCCCTCTGGCCCCTTCCAACCCTACCAAAATTCTATAGCATGTAATCTTCATGAAGGCATATGATGTCTCACTTCTGGGCATGCACATGCACCCAAGGCTCTAGTCCTGATTCAGCAAAAAAAAAAAATCAGCATGTGGAAAATTGTATGGTGTTTGTTTTGAAGATAAACATTTCCTAACCCTCTTCACTTGTGTTTATGTGCATGCATGCTCTTAATTCCATCAACCTCTCTCTAATAAAGATTATTCCAGCTCTTCTCCTGACAAGTTAAAAGCAAAGGGTTGTGTTCATTTCAGTGGGTAAACCATAAGTATGACTTAACACTGGCTGCAATGCAAGGTCAGGTACAGTATTAAAAGTTCCTGGTTCCCCTTGCTGTTGAACTGGCACAACAGCAGAAAGAAAAGAGTTCTGTAAGTTAGGACTGGTTGAATGGCGAACAGAACAGTTCAACAAGTGAATTTTTTACCAATACAAGAAAGTGGTGCTCTTTCGTTCCAGTGTGCATGACATAAGGCAAGCCATTCCCACCCATATACCACAGTTCAAGGGCTCTCTCAACTATAAATTACAAGCTTATTCTTTGAACACACAGTTTCAGTGTCTATTTTGTCATTGTGTTACTAGTTGCTAGTAAGTCTGAATGTGATTTAATCCCAGAGCATAAAGCCCAGGGTGGTCTATTTGGGTGTTAAAACACAAATGCTGGTTAGTTCTGTATCAAACCATTCTTCTGGTATATGAATTCTGAAATTTCAAAAATATCCAGGAATAGCCATACCTTGTTATTTCTGGATTAAATAATTTTAATCCACTCTATGTTAAGCTAACCTTGACAACTGTTTGGAAATTTCCTTTAGTCCAGAATGCTGCAGCCAGACAGGTGTGAGATGTTGGGATCATATTACTTTAGTATTATTACAGCATCACTAGTTGCCTATCTATTTTCAGGCTGTGAGAATCATGCTGGCCTTAACCTAAGGGCTTAAATGGTCTGGTTCCAGAATTTCTCAAAGACCATCTCCTTCCAGATGAATCTGTTTTGAGTGTCTGCTTAACACTTGGAGCCCCATTTGGCTGCTGTCCCATCTGGTGTCTCAAATCTGACAGATGATCTTGCTTGATGGGCATTTGTCAACGGTGGCACATAAATCATGAACACATGCTCCAGAGAGACCTGACTCTGAACAAAGAGCAGACTCCATTGGGGCCCCATTGCATCACTTCCTTAAGCAGTGCATCTGATAATCCCACTGCAAAACATAACCCACCACTTATGCAAAGGTGTTTTAGTATTTCCTAGGGAAAGTTCTGAAACAAGCCAGAGTGAACATTTTCATTCATTTCAAAACAACTTGCATGTTTAAAACTTAGATGTCAAAACAACATGAAACAAGAAAAATACATGCTGAAGTTAATGTTTCCTGATTTTTATTGGAACTTAGACAGTTATCAAGCTCTATTTGTTCTCTATTTTTCCATGTGGAATTATTCTCCCACATAATGGCTGTGTTCACACAAAACTATTCCACGAAGCTTCCCTGCATGAGTGTTTTCCACCTATCTGCACCAGTCCTCCTGCTGAAGCCACATATCCCATCAGCCTCTGTGGCTGAAATGCAATCCTAGGTTGTACTGATTCTGCCTACATCTCGTGCCTCTTCCAGATTGGTCTGCATAGATAAGGCTGCATGGCTACAGTGGCTCCTGCAGTTTCCATCAGTCTCTATGGTAGCCATGTGGAAACCGTATTTCTGGGTTCAAACAACTGGATAAGACATTGTGAAGGGGAAAACCATACAATAGACTGTTGTTTCTCTCTGTTGCTCCATGGAAACCAAATATGTCATGAAACCCAGCCCATGACAGGATTCAGACAAAACAGACCATTCCACAATGGAAACCGTCATGGCTTGTTGTTATGTGTGAACCCAGCTGGTGTAGAATGTATGCACATCTTCATCTGATAGACACTGGAAGGTACAAAATACAGCATCATGTTTTCCTCTCTCTACAGAGCAGTTTGTTTCAACTAGGAGGGTAAATTTAAATAGAGCTCTTTTTTCCTTTGGTGTGGTGTCTACCTCATAAATTCTCAAAATAATCTCAGGAACATCCACCAAAATGCAAAGCAACACAAAGGTAGGCTAAGAAGTATGCTTCTGAAATGAAAATGGGTAATAGACGGCAGAAATTGATGAACAAAAGCATACCAAGAGATGAGGAGGACACATATTGCACTGAGACTTCAGAAATAAGGTGCAGCAGATTGACATGAAGCAAGCAAAATAACTTTTGGGATTGGATGGTTAGGAACACTAGCTGCATCAAGCAGCTTGTGGGGAAGGAAAGGTTATTTAGTGAGAGTACCAACATTAAAAATTAATCAGTCCATAAGCCAAATCTGGAAGACATATAATTCTCAAATGCATAACAAGCCCTGACTCCAGTCCAGCAGATGCTAATATTTTTTGTAATTTAAGAATTGTTATGCATCTGGTTGGTATAACAAACAGACAATAAAAGACAATAAATAGCAAAATAATAAAAACATGAGAATTAAGACACATAAATTGCATCTAAAAGTCCCAAGGGGGAAAAAAAGAGTTGCCTAGTGCCAGAAGAAACTAAGTAGACCTCGCTGGGTAAAGCATTCACATTCAGGCTGACACCACTGAGAAGGTGCTCTTCTCCCAGGAAACCGCCCACCTTGGTGGCTTCAGATGGCAAGCTCAGACAGAGAAGGCTGCAATTAAATTAGATGACAGATTAGAGCAGCAGCATCCAACTCATTAGTTAATGAAACTCTGCAAAAACAAAGTTTCAGGCCTAAAGTTCCATGCTGTAGGCACCAAATGAGTCTGTTTCTTGTATTCATGTCCTGCTTGGGAGTGTCTCACAGACAGCTGGTTTGTTCAATGCCTGAACAGAATATTGAACTAGATAGGACTTTGGTTGGATCCCATATGACTCCTCCTGTATTATGTCTGGGGAGAAATTTGACATAATACAAATTTCTCCCCAGAAAAGCCCCTTTCTCTGTAGCTGTATAGTATATGCATACCTTTCAAACACAGGGGATGTTTAGTTTTAATTACAAGTTGATTAAAGGCAATTTGTGCATCCTCCCTTTTGGGGGCTGTGAAATGAGAAATTAGATGATCTGTCAAGACCAAGTAAACAAGAATAGTGGCCTTTCATACAACAAAGCATAACGATTATTGTTCCAAACTATACAGTGAGGAGGAGGAAGAAGGTGACACTAATACATATTAGGGATGGGTGGGAGAGAGAAGGGAACTAGATAGATGTGCTGAACTTCAAAAGTTTTCACACTATGCAAGAAACATGTTCAAGAAAAGCTAAAAAAGTGAGTCCCAAAAGAAAGAAATCTGAGATTAAACAGGGGCACTGTTGGATTTATGTATGCTATATATGCAAGAGTTCTTTTCTCATCTTTTTTGTGAAACAGCAAACAAATTGAAGGGAATTAAAGGAGGGCTAGTGCATTAAAACCACCTCAAGAGAATACTAACTCATCCCCCTTGTCAACAACTCCTTGCATGA